AGGTTGATGAAGGTGTATCTTACCTTTCCGATTCTGGCTAGCCTTGACATCTTCATCCGTTCCGACTGCCAGTGGTTGAAACTATGCTTTCCAGTCAGATAAGTGAAGGAGGTAACCTCTGTTAAATCTCTCCCGTTGATGGTGATTGATGCTGGCTGCTGTTGTTGTTGTTGAGGTTCGTTGTTTATCCTCATCACCTCCGTCTTCTCTATGTTCACCTGCGGTCCTGTCTTCGCTGCCAGCTAACCTCTTCAGCCGGTTCGCTGGTTTGCGCCTACCTCTAAGTCTTCGAGTTTGGGTGACATTAGACATACATCATCCATTCTCGAAATCCAAATCTTCCAGAGTCTTCTTATCTCTGATCCAGCGTATTCCTGTCTCCTCGCTCCCCACACACAGTCTGATGCATAATTCAGTCCAACACAGTTAAGAATATCGTCGTTGATGATAATAGGCAGACAGTCAGCCTATCTTACTCCAGTGTTCACTTCGAACGCCTCACTGAGTTTCCCGTTGTTGATCCCCTGCCACGTGGCACTGTCATATAGCCAACTGCTGCATGAGGTTGATTAAGACTTGGGAACTGCAGGCCGTAGTATTGAAGCAGTTTCCAAATCACTTCTTGGCCAACACTGTCTATCGAAGGCCTTTCGAAGTCGATGAAGTTGAGGTAGAGTGAGGTTTGACTGCCATTCTCTGCTTTGTTCGATGAAGATGACTATGTGTAGAGTTCCGGTTTGATCAGTAAATGATTTGTCTTTCCTGAATGCAGCTGGAGGAGTTCTATATCCAGTGCATCTTTTATTCTCTCCCAGGATGATGGGAATTAGTATTTCTTTTATTAACTGTTACGTTGAAATTTAGTCCTTTCTCCAGTACTTTTATCTCACTAGAGCTTAGTTCCCTTGATGTAATTAGTATGAATTAGTATTTCACTTGGCGTGGACAACAGCGTGAATCCACACCAGTTCTTGCACAGGCCTAAGTCACCCTCCTTTGGTAGCTTGATGAAGTAGACTTTTTCCAGTCAGCAGACACCTTTCCTTCCTTCCAAACCTTTTACAATGATGGTGTGAGAACATCTGCCGCAGTTTCTGGGTCCTTTTTCAATGCTTCGCGGGGAATTTCGTTAGTCCTGCTGTCTTTCCGAACTTCATTAGCTTGATTGCATTCAGGATTTCTGCATACGTTGGAGGATTGTTGTCCACTGGCAGGCATTTCTGTGCATGCCGGTGGTGGTGTATTTCTGGGCGAGTTGCAGGTGATGGTCGACTCAAGAGTCCTTTGAAGTAATCAGCCCATTGTTTGATTTGTTTCTCCTCCTTGGTAATCAGGTTCCTATGAACACCTTTTATTGGTTTCATCATCTGGCTTGATCTCTTCCCGGGTATACACCTCGTTATCTAATATAACATCCTGAGGTCTCTTTTACCTGAGACCAGCCTGTTCTGGTTCAATTGCTGGTCAGTGTATTTTAGAATTTTCTTTTGTCTTGCCATATTAGTTTGTTTATTAGATGTATCACACAGTGAAACAGTATTATTTACTAGATGACTTTTCGAACAAAATTTATTGTTCATAATCATTTCAATCATAATCACACGACTTCGAAACTTGAGTTTTACAGTTTTCTTTGTTCTCTCCTATTTGTCATAGGCGTAGTAGAATTTTCCAGATATCTGGGACAGGTGTTGAATAATTCCTATTACACGTATTTGCAGTTGACTCGATAAACAAAGCTTCTGTTATCAATCTTTAGGGATTGACGGTATCGACGTTCGCGAGTTGTACGGATTATACTAACGCAAGATCTTATACCAACAACTTCTATAGTGTTTCTTCTTCGAGTACCAAATGGTAAAGCAAAAGACCAGATTTTGTCGTCCAAAGTACGTATTATATTTCGGGACAAAATCGCGGGTAGAGGTGAATGCTTAGCTAGCTAGTAATCGTGCACGCACGTGACACGACGGAGCACCAAATGGCGGGGATGCTTGACCGTAAGCCTTCAGCTAAACAAGTCGACTTGAACGGTGATGGTCAGCATCCAATGTTGAGTGATGATTGCTGTGGTTAATAATTTTGGGGAATTATTTACCGCTACAAATCTCTCCCTATACCCTGTGACATTAGGTTTTAAGACTGTCATCCTATGCCATCCTATTGTATGGTTGTGTGTAACTGCATGTAGTGCTACAGCTGAACCATTCTCTAGATTTCTTATCTTATTTGGATCAACAAATGTAGATTTTGCTAAGTTTTTATGTTCAGCTAGTCTGACTGCCCGCGTTCTACTACTTTGACCTATGTATTTGACCTGAAAATCATTGCAGGCAGGGTATTAGATTAACTAAATTGTTTTGTTTTAAAGGCTCCACAGGATCCTTTAATGGACAAAGTTGTTTCTAATTGAGTTTGTGGGTTTGAATGGCACTTTTATTCCTGCCTTGTTAAGAATTCTGCGTAAGGTTTCCGAGGTTCCTTCCTTGTATGGAATTACTACTGATAATTTAGATTCCTTATTGTTGGTGTTGTCTTGCGCATGTTTGACATGCATATCGTCATTAATATTACCATTATTATTATTATCACTATCACTACTGTCATTATTTATTTTATTTTTACATTTCCCTCCATACTTTCTGACTAATTTATCAGGATAATTATTAAGTTTCAAAGCTTCTCCTATATGCCTCTCTTCCTGTCTTAGATTTTCCTTGGTACTATTTAGTTTTTGTGCCCTATCACTTAAACATTTCAGCAATCCTATTTTTACTGACATAGGATGAGACGATCGGAAGTCCAAATATATGTTTGTGTGTGGGTTTCCTGTAGACACTAGTGTTTAACTTCCCATCTTCCCTTTTTACGTTACAATCTAACATTGGAAGCTCCCCTTCCTGACTTTCTAATTCATAAGTGAATTGAATTGCCTCCACCTTTGAGTCAATGTGTTCGAAAAATCTATCTGTATCCTGTGTTCTAAGTACAGTGAATGTGTCATCTGCATACCTCCACCATACTTTTGGGGCGTGGCTGAACGTTTCAATCTCTGAGTTTCCTCACTTATCCATTAGTATATCTGCCACAGTCGGGGATATTGGTGACCCCATGGCAACTCCCTCAGTTTGTTTGTATATTTCCCCTGGAATTTCAATACTGTGGAAGTCAAGCAGAGCTGCACTTCCACCATTATGTCCTCATGTGGCACTTTCGTTCTAAGTTCGAGTTCTTGGTCAGAAATCAGTTCGTTTATGAATGCCTCTGTGGCCATATTTATTGATATACGTGTATATAAACTGACAATGTCAAAACTAACCATTTTTTCTTCATTATCTGATTCTAAATTATTTAATCTATATTTTGGTTCATAAGAATTTGTTAATCTATATTTTGAGTGGCTTTTAAGAGGATTTAATACCATGGCTAAATATTTAGATAATTCATAAGTAGGTCTTTTGTCTTTCCTAGCAATCTTCTTTACTGCTTTATTCAATGCAGTGTACAGTGAACTCGGCTCCTCTTTCCGTTGTGCACCTTCTCATTAAGTCATCTTCTCTTTCACCATCCTTCTCTCCTCTCTTCTATTAGCTTCAAGGTAGATGTCCGTTGATAGCCATTCCGTATCTTGTCTCGTCTTCCTTCCCAGAACATTTGCACACGTTTCCATGAACATCACCTTCAGACATTTAGTTTCAATGTTCTTCCACGCAGGTTTCCTCAGTGATAACACGTAGTGTCTTCGGATTTGGTCTGACCTCATCTGTAGGGAAGGCATCCCTTGAGGTTTTTTCCTTTAGTTTCTGAATGTTTAACTTGAATTACAGTGGCCTGTGTCCAGTTGTTTGCAGGGATTTCAGCTTCACCTTAAAGGTTCCTTGAGCTAGATGATGGTTTGAGACCACATCTGCTCCTCTTCTCAACTTTGCGTCCAGCAAGCTGCGTCTCCACTCCCTTGAACAGTATTGAGATGAAATCGATCTGGTTTGTGGTGTGTCCATCAGGCGAAACCCACGTTACCTTGTGTATATCCTTATGTTTGTGCACACTGCTTTCAATCACCAAACCATTGAAGGTGCAGAAGTCTATGAAGAGTTCTCGGTTGTCATTGATTTCCCCACGTGAGAACCTATCGACCCACGATGAGTTCTCTTTTTGTATTATCAGGTCCCAGTTTGGAATTCATATCGCCCATGAAGATTTTGATGTCACCAATCGGGATGTTATCCATTACTGTTTGTAGTTGTCTACAGAATTCTTCCTCCTCTCTTGTTCCGAGTTGTGCGCATCATTTGATAATTGTAATCTTCCTTCCTTCTTTTTGAGTTGATTCTTGCTGTCATGATCCTGGATGAAATTGGTTCCCACTGCATTAGGGCTTTGGCTGCCCCTGGTGACATCATGATAGTCACCCACTGCCTCAGTGTGCTCGTGGTTGTCGTCTGGGTGATCAGACTGGAGTAGATTACGGACTCGCCAGCTGACAATTTTGACAGTCCACATCCATTCCATCTGCTCTCGCAGATTACCAGCACTTCTCTGCCATAACTTCGCATACCTTTGGCTACCTAGGCAGCCTTCACAGCTGGCTTCGTACATTGTATAGACATTCCACGTCCCCATTCTTATTCTTGATTTCATAGAGAGAATGCATATTGGTTGGCTGACTGGCTTCTCAAAGGCTTTCACCAAACTTCTCCAATTCCAGTGAAAAATAAGTATTTTTCTATATTTTTGTATTTTTAATATTCTTCTTTTGTGTTTAAGTTTCCGCAGCAGTTTGAATGTTTTTGTGGTGTGGGGTCGCTAGTTCCACGCCCGAACCTCTCTCTTTACCCACACTTGGGGCCGGCTAGAAAACTAGAGAGTTAATAAACTAGGCGAGGTTATTTGATGTACAGCCCCAGCAAAATTTAAAACTTTGCATCAAATTTTCACTCTGTAAAACTTATTCGCATTCTGCTTCTTTTGTATTTTGTTTTTCAAAAAATCCACAGTAGATTTATATCTTTTGAAGAGTTCATTAATTCGCCTGATTTAATTTTACAAGAACAACAATTACAAGAAAATGATGACAATCTCTCAATAAAAATAGATTATAATGAAGAAAACAACACAGAAAATGTAGATGAATTTTTAACACCACGTCAGAAGATCAAACTGGACAGAGCAAGTGAATCGGATCAAACAATTGCTACTTTGAGGTACTGGAATGCCAAATTTTTTTCAGGCTGTTAAAATTCATTCATTTTATTCCGAATTTCAGTGAAGTAAAAGGTTTTTAGGGAAATTGAACCTAATTTCTAATAATTGATAGCAATAGTATAGGAATTTGATGAGTTAAATGATGAACGTCATCTTAATTGACCAGGTTTACTCTCATTAAGTCGTTGCGAGATGCTAATCAACTAAGACATGCATTTTGACTGTTATTTCCACTTTCATCTGCAGGTCAGGCGACGTCGATTATTCACCCGATACACAAATCCATAATACTAACTAACATAAAGTGAAAGCTGGTATTTGTGCAGTTTCTGGATTTAAGTAGTTTAACCGCTGACTAACTACCTTCAGATCGGCTTCCTGCTGATTTCCTGCAACCATCTAATACCGACAATTCGCAGTGCACCGTAATGGCGAGCCACCTAGCATGGTGGCCACATTGCAAGCTTGACTGACAGAATTCAGTCTACAGCGAAGATAAGACTAGACACTTTACACTAGTTACTGACTAGTGTGCAATAAAAAATATCCAATACAGTCCTACAGGAGGTCAATCGTCAGCCTGAATAGCTCAGTGGTGACGTCCCTGACTGCAGCACTGGGTGACGCGGGTTCGAAGAAAACCTTTGACACAATGGTTGCGAGGAGGCCTTAGTATCTCTCATAGGGTCATGGATATGCACTTATAATGAGAATGTAAATATTATTAAATCGTGAAAAATACCCATTAGGACATAAAAATGAAGAGAACACGAAGTTCAGAAAAAATATCTTTTCGCCGATTTCATTTTCAAAAGCTGTACAATCGCATTTAAATACATAATTTTACATAGATACAATATTTACTTGATTCCACATAATTACAAAGGCGAATAAAAGGTGACAATTATTTCCAACCATGTATGGTTTACGAGAGGCTTACAGACAAAAGTTACACAGAATTAGAACGAATTACAGGTGTGTAGAAAATGAGCATGGACAAATTGAAATAATAATTTTCCACTTGAGATGGAAGTCAGGAGGTGGGAATATAGATTACAAGATGCATAGAAACAAAAATTATACAGGATTAGGATATGATATCGTGGCGCAGAATTGTTACCCGGCACGTTTTGTCGACAAGAACATGCAACCTAAGCTAAAAAGAGAAAAATGAGATTCAGCGCCGAATAAAACTATGTATATGAATCTGAATTTCAGGGGAGATTTGGCAGCTGATATCCTAAAGAGAAGAATATCCAGCTGTTTAAAAAGGATCTTTTCTGCAGCAACACTAAGAGTAACATTCTTGAGCAGCCCAATACTTCGAAACAATGCCAAGGACAAACTCTCGCATATGACCAATTCAATGTGCATATATAAGTTCACCTGCTCGTGCGGAGCTAGGTACATAGGTCGTTGTCTGCGCGTCCTTTCAAAACGTGCTAGAGAACATTACCCAGCATGGTTGTAGAAAGGAGGCAGCGGTTCAGTCAGAAGTGCCATTACTGAACATCTGATCAACACCTTCCACAACATCTCAACTGATTCATTCAAAGTAATTTACAAAGTCAACAGGAACATACCAAAAGCAGCGTGCTTCCGACTTCTCTGCTTCTCGCAATATGCATCCAAAAGCCGGAGCTGTGTGTTCAAAAGAAATTATCCAACCTCTACAACTACCATGGATCAAGTTCGGTGTGTTCCCTTAGTCTCCGTCTTTTTGATTTCTTTTTCGCTCGCTGTGTGTGTGATTCTTCTCTCTTTGTCTTAATTCAATTCATCCCATTTTTCCAGTTATAGGAACAGTTATTTTAAGTTTGTTTCCATACTTTTCCTGCTAACATTTATAATTCGTATAAAATAACTACTTTATAATTATAACCTAATCCTGTATAATTTTTGTTTCTATGCATCTTGTAATCTATATTCCCACCTCCTGACTTCCATCTCAAGTGGAAAATTATTATTTCAATTTGTCCATGCTCATTTTCTACACACCTGTAATTCGTTCTAATTCTGTGTAATTTTTGTCTGTAAGCCTCTCGTAAACCATACATAGTTGAAAATAATTGTCACCTTTTATTCGCCTTCGTAATTATGTGGAATCAAGTAAATATTGTATCTATGTAAAACTATGTATTTAAATGCGATTGTACAGCTTTTGAAAATGAAATCGGCGGAGAGATATCTTTTCTGAACTTCGTGTTCTGTTCTTTCTAAATATTATTAAACAGCTTCTTAAATACCACCATATGTTATGATCAATTTCATTCCTCCAACAAACTAACGTTTCGGTAGGACTATTTCATATGCTCACAAACATTTTTACCAGTGAATTTGAACAAAATCATCGTAATGTAGATCTGTACCATGCGAAAGGTATGGATATTTGCAGACTCCCGTATTATCGAAAGCTTGCACATACGCTAGTATGGGTGGAAATCTAGTTGGGATCGGCTTATCTAAGCCAAGACTGATTCAGTGAACTTCAGTTAGGTAATTTGTTTTTGAAATAACTATTCTTACTGTACATGAATATAATTTTCGATAATGAACAGCTTATTTTTTTTTCATTACTGTACATCATTTAGAGATTTGGCAGAACAGTTAACACACAGTCGAAATACTTTGAACTCTACAAGGCGAACGGATTTGTATACTTGGCAGGTAAATTGTCCCAAGAGCGTATTTTATCTTGCGCCTTTCACATCCATTATGGGTAAATTTTATTTTGATAAAGTCTCACAATGTTATACAGTAATGTTTACTGATGACGTTTCGAGCACAGTTTATTGCTCATAATCATATCAAGGTATGATTTACTAAAACAGTTACCTAATGTATCAAGGTAATATCATGCGTTTGCGTTTCGACTATAGCCGTGTTAAGTTAGCGGAACTCCAAAAAGGTGGTTATTCTGCTAAAAGTTTCCTGTCTGTGTGTATATTTTCTAGAAACATCCAAAAAATATCAAGGCATAAAAAATGTACGATGAAGCGTTCTGTTATTAAAAACGCAGATAGTTTTATGATATTCGCTAGGCATGTAACACAACATTAACACACACTGTCCCAAACTGCAACACCTTATATCTGTGTATTGATTTACAGGTAAGATAAAATGACACTAAGAAGCAAAAACTGACTTAATCGGATGTTGTACTGAAGAGAAAGAGATAGTATGAATGGCGTTCAACTAGGCCATATCACAGAAACTCTCAATTATCACTTTCTTTGCTCGTGTAAACCTCAGTCAAAAATCTTACTTTTCCCTACATTACTCAATGGACTTGTGCTATGTCTTGATATGCCCATCATTCGTTCAGTTTCAACATCTCTAATTCCCTTGATCAGGCATAGTTTGTTGGATTGTATCAAGTATGTGTTAGAGGCGTTACAGATGGTAGACAGGCGGACTTATCAGCATAGAACTTTGCATAAAATTACATTAGTTCAAGTTGCTACACACACACACAACTGAAGTGAAAAGGAATGTAATAGAACTGCAATCGGTAAAGATATATTGGAGGGATAGTAATTAGAAGAAAATTAATGAATACATCTGCCTCATTTTCAATAGTTGTCAACTATATCGTTAGAAATCTCCTACCAATTATTCTAAGCACCCTGAGTACTCTAATCAGATAGTTAACGCCTCCCTATGTGGTTCAAACAACTCTCAAAGTCTTCTCGGATTAGTTCCATGATTTCGTCTGATTATTTTGAGCACTGTTCATCAAGAAAGCTGTTGGCTAGGCATAAGTGATACATGTACTAGTTATCTTGAATCTATGAAGCTTAACATCCTCATCAACTGACTTCACTCTGACCTCACTATTACCGATCATATTGCTCCACCTAGTACGATAAACTGAACAGAGACACTCAACATCAGAATCTGCCTATCTTCTCCCATTTATCACTTTCAGTCTGCATATCTCATATCCGTGAAGTGGAACAGAGCAAAATGTTGGATTTTACACACATCGTTTGACGAATATCCGGATAACAGGTCTGCCCTGAGAGTGACGCACTTTGACAAATGCTATACGGGCCCTTTGTGTGCCTGCTGTGATCTCGTTTACAATCAGTCCACTGGGACTAATTCACTCTCAAAATGAGTGAAGTTGTCAACAAATTCAATACTTCCACTCTGTCTGTTACGTTCATCTCCATTAGTAGTACATCTACGAACAGACTAGATAAGAGTGGAGATGGTGAGCAAAACTGAAGAAAACCACTGATTATTTTCACTTCAGACAACATAAGATCCAACACATCCGTGTGGTTTCGATCAGGATGTCTCGATTAGTACCATATAATGTTTCGGCACTCTCTTCGCAGCCAGACATTATTACAGCTCCTCTCGACTGATTAGATTAATTAACAGGGCAAATGTTGGACAATATTAAGTATATCTCTGTTCTAGAACATGTCAAAAGGTAAAGATATGATCATTGTACCTTAATCACTACTCAAGCTTCTTAGATTCTAGATACGATAATAACACTCTAAACCCCTTTTGTAGCGATAAATACAGTGGGATTTATCTAATATTACTAGAATTATCGACGTTCTACACCGCGTCAAATACGTCACGCAAATGATTAAAGTTTAAAACTCCTTCAACCAATCTATCCATTTTATCTGGGAATTCAAGTTAACACACTAAACGTGGACAATAATATGATGGGAACAGTATGTAAATATCTACAAATGTCTATGACATTTTAATATGTTAAAACACATACAATACCATGTTGATTATGTACCATAAATATATATGATAACAGTTTGCTTTGAGAGGAGAAATTTAAAGTGATTATTATTATTTCATCGGGTTCTGAGTGGAACATAGGACTCCTGAAGTACACCTAGATTTCACTCTGTTATCTTTTATCTGTCTCTTTTAGCTGACTCCTCGACTGGTCATAAGATTTCATTTCCACATAGCACGACTTCCTCCTTGTTACCCTCCAACGTCCAAATCATTACTCCACACTAGGGTTCTCAGCGTGGGCTTGGCGTCACATGTCACTCTTTAGTGTACACTCAATCCTTCCCCATTCTCTGATGCATATTTGTTGGTTGATAGATTTTAGCTGTTTCATTACTGTACTAGAGTTCCTTGTTGTTTACTTATTTCTGTCAGCGGACCACCTAATCATTGGTATCAAGACAGCGAAAACTGTTGAGGAAGTTCTGCAGTAGCCTGTTGCAAATGTCATTCGTAACGCGTACACCGCTTCTCAGTCATACATAAGCAATGACTTGATACTGGTATCGAAAACCTGGATCTGGTTCCATATGCCTAATCTAGCCCTATTCCGCAGTGATTTTAAATTATTAAATGTTTGTCTTGCTTTTCCAATCCTGAATAGCTTTGACATTCTCATCTGAAACACCTATAGTTGAAACGATGCTGCTTAGATAAACGAAAGAAGTGACTCCCTTCAAATTTCTTCCTTTGGTGGTGGTAAGTACTTGTAGTTGTTGTTGTTACTGGTTAGGTATCTTCATCACCTCCGTCTCCTCTGTGTTCAGTTGAAGACCTGTCTTCACTGCCTTTCTGCCAACTTATCGGTTTTCACTTGTACATCCTCGAGTTTATTCAACATGATACTGAAATCATCCACAAAATCCAGATTCTCTGCGGGTAATTTTGCTGGTCCAACGTATTCGTATCTTTCCATCCCCAACTGTCAGCCGCATAATCCAGTCCACCACAATCAGGCAGCCATGTTTTACTCCTATCGTCGCTTCAAACTTTTCACTGTGCTTTCCGTTTTGAACCACTTAGCACGTGTCATCGTCATCATCATTATATAACTGTTGAATGAGGTTGATATAGGGTTGGGCCGCCCTGTTGTTTCAAAGCAGTTTCCAGATAACTTCACGGTCGATACTGTTGAAGACTGTTTCAAAGTCTATGAAGGTGAGGTAGGGGGTTGTCTACCATTTTATGCTCTGTTCGACGGTGGTATGTATTGCTGCAATTTGATCCACTCACGACTTACCTTTTCTGAATCAAATTTTCTCCAGTCCTTTGGTCTTCCTAGGATGATGCAACCTGAAATTTTGCTTGACATGAATAGAGGAGTAATTCTGCACGAGTTCTAGCAAAGACCTAGGACGATCTTCTTTGTATTTTGACAAGTTAGCCTTTCTTCCAATCAGTGCATACCTATTCTTCCTTCGGAACTTTCTCCAGTAGGGATGTGAGTATGTCAGCTGAGGTCTCTGGGTCTGTGTTTCACTGCTTTTTTAGCAAACTCAGCTAGTCCTGTGGGCTTTCTGGCTTTTAGAAAGCTTATGGCATTGTAGACTTATGTTTCGTTTAGAGGGTAATTTCTCATTGGGTTTTCGTTTGCTGTTAGTGGTATTTCTGTATGATCTGCAGGTGGTGGTGGGTTCAAGAGACCTTTTTTCCTTCTGATCTGTAATTAGGTTCCCCTCACTGTCTCTTATTAGTCCGTCAATGTTGATCTCTTCCCCTATTAGTGACCTGATTATCTGATAAAATGTCCTGAGGTCTATTTCAATCCCAGATCCTTCTAGGTCATTTGACGATATGTTTTAGAATTATATTGTCGTTCCTAGTAATCTTCTTCACTTCTTTATTCAGTTTGTTGTAGACTGAACTCAGCTCCTACTTTTGTTATTCATCTTTTTACTGGTTCATCTTCTATTTCGCAGCCACGGATTGCTCTATTAATGTCCATATGTCCGTAGAACAGCCACTGCTCATCTTGATTTGTCTTCCACCTTAAGGTGTCTGCAAATGTTTCCCTTCAAGTTGCTTTCAGACAGACTCTGTTTCCTTCCACTCAGGTATACTCTGTGATGCTTACCCAACTTTTACCTGGTGACTGCATTTAAGATGTTATTTGTGTCTTTTTTGGGTGCTGAACATGAATGGTGATTTTTGTATAATTTTTTGGTAGCTTTCAACTTGATCCTTGTTAGATAGTGGTCTCAACCTTCATATGCTACTCTTCTAGATTTTGTGTCCATCAGGCTGCATCTCCACCTTCCTGGGATTGCGTGGAATCCTGTTTGATTTTTGGCGTATCCATTTTGTGAAAACCATGTCTACTTGTGTGTCCTTGCGCTTGAACGCGCTGCCCCCATTCCCAAAATGACTTAGGGCACAGAAGTGTGTAAAGGGTTCTCCGTTATCATGCATTTCGCCAAGAGCTTCCCGACCCGTCATAAGATCTTTTCCTATGTTATCTGCTCTCAGTTTAGCGTTCAAATCACCATAAGGGATTCTGATTTGGGATCATCTCTATTACTGTTTCTTGCTATCTGCAGAAGTCTTGCTTCTTTTATTGGTCTGAGGAGTTTTCCTGATTCTAGGGGAGAATAAGTCTGTTCTTTCTGTGCGATGTGGTTGTTTTTTTAACGATCTAGGGTTACTGGCTCTTCCCCTGTTTTACGGACTTCGCATCTACTCTAAAACTAGGCGAGATTTTTATCTAAAAGGCATGAAGACTGAGAGAAGAATATCATTTTTTATTAATCTTTAGTCAGTTAAGACGGTTATATTGACGTAATATTTAAAGAAAAGTTGATATCGACAAGAAGAGGATCATTGCTTGGGAGTGAACGCATACATCTGATATTGTAAAATTTGAAGTGAAAAAAATTATCATGATAAGATGAAGCTTGAAGTAATTACTTCTTACAAAAACAAGATTGCATTAAATGATTCTGCTGCAAAACAGAAGTTTGGATAAAATTTGAAGACCTTAAGCACCAGGGGAATTTCAGCTAACACTCATGGACCAGTCTTGAGTCCCATTTTGGCAAATGTCTCAGTAGAACTGTGCCATATGTCCGTTGTAGTGGTCAGAATGCCGAAAGTATAGAAACCTGAATATGATTACATTAACTGAAATAAGAAGTGTGCACTTCTAAACTTCGCGTAATTGTCATTCTGCAATACTGCTTACTTTAGGGCTTGTATAAATCAACCGCTTAGTGCACATGCGTTTATCGTTATTATTTGCCTGAAGTCGACTCGTAACGAAACCTCTTAAGAATGCAATCGATTTTAACCTACAAGCCCATTTTCCATACTGAAGTAGGAAAACAGTACATTATCTAAATTTCCTAATTTCATTTTCTGCACTTCATCATTCAAGACAAAATATTCAGTAAGCTAATGTGTAGTATTAGTGTAACAACAGAAGGCAAGACTCTGAAGCCAGGGTATATTTTCAAGTGATCAAACCGCTGTTTATATATATACACAGTTTATATTCATTAACCAATCACTCAGCGTGTGATTTCGGTTTACATCAAACGACATCAAATAGAATGTTCAAATACACGTAGTATTTTGTTGTTAATGCGGTATATTACCGCGGGAAAAGTATTCTGTATCTAACATCAAATAGAATGTTCAAATGGATATGTTGTATTCTGTTGCTATTGCTGTATTGAACTGTGGGAATATATGAGAATAATATTCCATTGGCAGACATTGTCTATATCACACCTCCACATTATAACTATTTCATCTCTAAATGAGCTGTTAGAACTTTTGTTTCTAACTCAAGAACAAATATGATCTGATGTTTAGTATGTAAATGTATGATGTTGAAGAATAGTTATTCCAAGTTTACAATTTTTAAAAGTTACAAAATAGATATAGGCATCTAAACATTTCGTCAACACAGCTTTGGATATTGACCCTCTGTAAAATGTTTGCCCTAAATTGTATCAAGCGCGTAGTGTGGTGTTTCATGCCGTTAGTACACTGTTTTGTTTTAGTTCGCCATTAACAGCAAAGAACAAGCAATGTCACTTGTGTAATGTTTGGCTTTTAAATGCGCCTATTATTATTATTATTATTATTATTATTATTATTATTATTATTATTATTACCACCTTATCATTGCTGTAAGCCCACTGAAAATCCCACGGTATCGATAATTGTTTCTGATTTGATTTATTTCATATTCACAATTTTAGAAACGATATCCATCATCAAATCGTTTATGGCCAACAGTTCAAATGTCTACAGAGAAAATGTTGAACGAATTGAAAAATCTTTACTTAGAGAAAATGAATAATGATTATGGCGTAACTGAGAATATGGATGACTTTGAAAATACAGAAAACTTACTTTGGCCACACAGACCACTTTCAGAAAGTGAGTCAACTGATATACTTTATTTTTGATTAAGATAGTCGTTATTAATGTAACCACTCTGTCGGGAATGGTTTTCGCCTATAAAAATAGAAGTGACGAGATGTCCAAGGCTTCAGTTTGGTTACCAGATAGGACCATTTCATTAAAGTTCCTCGCTTCAGAATTTAAAAGACCAATAGTAAAGTAATAATCCTTTCCTTCTACTGACTATAGCACACACTATACTGTTCATTACATTATTAAGAAATGTTTAACTATGAAAATACCACTGTTTATTTACCTAAGTAGTATATTAGAAAAATTGGAAATCCGGGACATGCTATGGCTGTTGCTGAACTCACAAATCCATTAGACTTAACTAGTGTCGAAGATTTTTGACATTGCTCGCAGTTCTCTCATTTTTGCATGCTCAAAATGAATAGTAATGCTCCAGTTCATTTTTTTTCTATTCTTTTTATCAAAAACATGGTAATATGATTACTTTGATTTGTGCATTTGATTACCTTTTATAACCAGATAATGACAGTCTGTTAGGTAAGGGTCCAGGAGCTGAGGATGAAAGTCTTGGGACTTTTTACCTTACGGAATCTGGTAAATGCACAAATAATATACAGAAGCAGACTGAAGACTCGCAAAATCCAGCTAGCGACAGTCAACTGAAAAATTTCCGTCTTGTAGCTGGTTCAGCCGGTCCAATGTATGAAAATCGTCGAGATGAACAAAAGAAACAGGCCGTTATAACTGATGACAATGTTGATAATCATGATCACAAAGATGAAGAGAGTAACACTAACCAGCTGAATCTATTCGTCCGACGTAGTTTTACAATTCCAGAAGTTTCAACCAATAATTATGTTCAGTCAGCAAGGCAGCTGAATACAATTAATAACTGTAATTTGAAGTGTAATGACGGTAAGCCTGCATATTATTAACTTGATGTATAACTGAGTGACCAGGGTCACTAGTAAAAACTCTGTGAAACAGTTCACTAGCTTTAAACTCTGTTTTTTCAAAGATGCAAATATGAAGAACCATTAGTCAGCGAAATGTATACAAGGAAAGGAATGTCAGTTGCGAGAATGCATGTCTAATTCCGTATTATGTAGGCCCTGGTTGTAAGCCATAACATTAAGACTGTTATCGACTCATGTAGACATTCATCATCCTGTGATCAGCTTCACGACGGCCTGCTTAATTCTCTGAACTAGCAGAGCGTCCATGCACCAAAATGCTTAAACTCTTCAGCATTTCTTATTGTGCTAATTATGCAATTACATCAAATAACCAATACATATTTAGTTAGCTTTCAAAGTAACGATACACAATTCTTGAAGGAAACGAAGCAAAAATGTACAGAATTGGTTCTGTCTTCATATGTAACACTGTGTTGCTTCATGCATTTATTCCCCTTGATGAATTTAAATAAAGCAAGAACAACAGTGGTTTGTGCAGAATAATATGGTACCATCATTTATTTCGTTGGCTTCTCTTCGGCTGCTTACAGCCTAAATAAATTATGAGGATTGCGTACAGAAAAGTTTTAACATACTTGCAAATTTTACATGTTGTCAGTTGACAAAAAGTTCCACAAAAAGTGAACAGTGCTCAGAAAATTGCGTTTATATAGTTTTTACACAGTCAGTTGAAGTTTAAACAAAATAAATGTATGCATAAAATGGTAAAGGAGTTACGTAATAAAGACGAAATATGCGTTAGATACAGAGTGACTAATAAATTAGGTAACAATGTACTGAGTTCAACTCAAATCATAGAAACAAGAGACAAGCGAAATTACAGATTACAAAAGGGGGGTGAGGTTAAAGACAAAGATTACGCAATCAGATGAGAGAATAAAGAATTCAGTTACCAGGGCAGGGAAAGACTAATAACTGCTTCTTTCTGAACACATAAATCTGGTTTCAAGCGTTTGATACAAATTGCTTCGGCAAACTTGAGGAGAATGGAACTCCTTTGTCTATTGATAATTTTAAAGGATTTCTCGATTTCTAGCTTATGACCCGTTTCGAGGAGATGTCCAGTAATAGCAGTACTATAAGAGTTTGTTCCCTTGAGACGTAGACTTTTCGGCACATGTTCAGAAAATCGGAGGTGTGGCCTTCTTTCTGTTCTCCCGAAGTAACTGCTCCCGCAGATACATGTAAATTTGTATACACAGTTGGAGTTAGCATGAGAAGGGTATCTGTCCACTTTTGACTGCACCAAAGAGCATGTTGTTCAATGGACGGGAACCAACTTAGCTGCAGGATGATAGGCTCTAGCTAGTGACGTACTCAGTCTTCTGTTGCTGCAATGTTTCCACCTTTAAAATCTAGTTGAATGAAGGTAGGCTTTTTTCAACTGTGATTTGTTTGGTATTTGAGCCTTCACATCTTCCATATTTGTTAATGAATCTTTGAAGGTAACCGTTGTTTTTCAGCACCTTTTCGAGAATCATAAATTCTTCCTCTCATTTATCTGCAGAGCATATTCTCCTCGCTCTATAGTACAGTCTTGATTAGTGCTCGTTTGAGGCTATTTGAACAAAAACTTTTAAAATCTAAGTATTGTCCATTCCATGTAGGCTTTCGGTAAATTGACCTCTGGAGATAACCATGACATGTTGCATTATATACCTCAGATTATTACTATACACATAAATCTTGTAGGAAGATGAAATATTTTGGAGCGCTGAAAATTTCTTTACTATGTGTTCACATGCTGTCTGCAATAAAGCCTTATTATTAATATCGTAATTAGATAAATTAACGATGATAGCTTATGTTTGTTTTCGATTTCCCAATTGTGTTGGATTCAATTCACAGTATACCGCTATTTCGAGTCTCCTAAATTAGTGAGCATATTGTAAACTTGAATGATAGTGCTCAGTCAGTACTTGGGATTAAACTCATGATATTTTTTGCTCCTTATTGACCAGTTAGTAGATCTACTGTGATCTGACAGGAAGTCAGTAGTGGCTTGACTGCACCACTGAACACTAAAAGCGTTCGAACGTCAGAGGGAGTATCAGTTTCTTTGTGATGAAAATTATGTCTTGCTGATGGATGTTTAGAGGCTGAGGGTGTTAACGTTAGCGGATAGTACGAAGTATACTAACACAAGATCTAATACCCATAACTTCTTTAGTATTCGTTCCGCGTAGACCATAGGTAAAGCTAAACGCCAAAATTGATCGTCTGAATTATGAAGTATATTTCGGGATCAAATCGGAGTGCGAGATGATTGCTTAACGAACTAGAGATCATGCACGAACGAACGTAACACGACGGCGTGCCAAATGGCGTGGATGCTTGACTGTAAGCCTTCAGCTCAACAAATTGATTTGAACAGTGACAGTCAGCATCCAATCTTCGGTGATATGAATGTTGTGGCTAATAATTCTGGGGAATTACCTACCGCTACAGATGCTTCCAACCATCTGATACCAACAACTTGTTGTTCGCGATATACTCACTTGTTCACGGCAGCGCAAACTAAATAGTTCACAAATTAACTAATGAATGTAGGTCGTCCTTTTCGGAGTGAAACATCAGTTCACGTTTCTATACTTACAAAAAGAAAACATGGAATAAGATGACACACAGGAAATAATGTTACAGTTGGGAGGCATAAGTCTAACTGTGAGTAATAAAGTGAAGACTAGAGAGGCTTCCCTAGGTTCGGAATTTGGAAGTCTACATAGTTGTTTCAGAAAGACGGTCGCTGACCACATATATATCGACAGTTTTATTTGTTTTCAATCCTTGTTTGTAGGAAGCTGATTTGTTTCAAGTTTGATCACGGATTGATATCAGTTCGAGAACCATTGAAAACAAGAGGGTGCTGGACGGCAGTTTCGTCCTCGCTTGGAATCCTTCAGCAGTACACACACCCAGCCACATCAGAGATCGAATTCAGGACTCTCAGGTTACGAGGCCAATTCTCTGATCAATCATTCAGTTAGGCTGGAATTCCGTGACCCGTGAACTCTAACTGATGTTGATTAGTAATACAGTACTGCCACTGACCAATACCGTCAACGACCACCCTCTGTATCCTCAAATAGTAAGGCCAAATGACCACCATTGCTCATTAGGACTTGAGGACATCCACCCACTAGCCACTAATCAGCTGAAGACTGATATTCAGATTATGGTTTTTGTAGGGATTTGAATTATTTTCAATGTAGATTTTTTTGCGAACGGTATTTATCTAGTTTAAGGAAGAAGAACTAGACAACTGTAATAATGATACAGCAATCGATAGCATGCTTTGCTTTACTCAGAAATTCTCCTTAGGCTTCCGATTCAACTAAAATAATACAGATTCTTTAAAGAATGATGAAGGCAACAAACCTTTTAAGTGTTATAAAATCCACGGACTGACTGTTATGAATCTATGATTATTTTACTCGTTGTGGTCCCTCATATCCTACTGGTAGTGTCAGTGAAGTTAACAAATGGTCTCATCTAAATGGTCTTAAATTAAATCCATCTGAATATCATATTGTTGATTTTACTTTCAGATGAGAACAAGACTCCCGTGAATTGATTCACTCTCATGATTCCTGTAATACTGACTGCACTGTGATAGGGAGTAAATCGAACATCTCTCTCTTGGAATCTGCCTTGGTCGTCTCACATCCTCTTGACTTCTAAGAAAAATTTTCGTTTAACTTATTTCATAAAGAAGTTGAGACTTCCTGCTGGCATAACTCAACCTCTTCTCGTACAATTTGTTAATTCACTTCTTCATTGTTCTCCCCACTTATTGTTCCCTGGAATTTCCAAAAAAGACTATATCAAATTACGTAGAACACCGAAGACTGTAGGTAGGGTTAGTGAAATGTGTGTGCCTTTGATTCAGTTAACTGACATTATTGTTAATAGGCACTTCAGTTCTTGAAATCATTTGGCTAAAATTATCTTGTCTGATACTGAAATCCTCATTTTGATTCTCAACTTTCTCCTTCTGTCTCTCTGGGAGGTGAAACCAGAAGAAACTTCCTAAGAATTTACGCTCGTACACCTACTAAATATAAAAATTATACCATACCATATTCAGCACAACTTTTGTGTGAAGAGTTAGATGTCAGAAAAGAACTTATGAACTATTTAAATCAGTAGGTCAACTGCAAAGTATAGGCAAAGAATTTTATTATATGTATTATCTATGATATTATCCACTTATAATTCATTATGTTTCCGCTAACATTCTGTTTATAGTGGTTTCATTATTATTATTATTATTACTATTTTAAATATTATGTATTTACAATATTTATGAAAGGAGCTAAATTGTTGCAATGTGCATAAAAACGCTGAAAATTCCATTCTGTATAACTATTATTGTTTGAAATGAAGTTATTATTATTATTATATAGGTATATGCACAGCTACCTTCTTTATATCCCTATCTAAAATCTCTTTAATGTTTATAAGCTTTATAGTGGTCCCTTCTGTGCGTTACAAAAATGGAGTCTAAATATACTGTAACAACAGAAGACTAGGGCCAAGCAACAGATCGTTTATCGAGGATAATCAACACGTATTTATAGCATGGAGGATTTCATCATGAGCTGACATCAGTTAGAGAACCACTGATGTCAGCTCATGATGAAATCCTCCATGCAATTAAACAAAATCCCTACCAAACCAATACTTGAAAAACATATTTATAGATTTTAATGTACATTATTGTAGATTATTGTTATTAGAAAATACAGTCTTTTGATTGGTTGTTTCTCACAGAAAGTTAACCTTGCATCTCTTTGTGGCTGTGTCAGATCATCCATATGCTAACTGTACCCGCCTACGCAAAGCCTTTGTTCTCATTTTCTCACCACCAATATTGAGGACATAAACAATGACGTCAATTACTGTCTACCAACTTTGGCTAGCAGCCAGCCCTCACCACAATACCAACTTTTTTATTGCCTTTACTTGATTTAAAGAGAAACCGATTTCATACAAAGGGATCTACTTATTACGCATTTTCCACTAACGGCGTATCGATATATGCTAGTTACCATTTACTAATAAGGGGAATCAATCTCGTAATACAACAAAGCAAGGGTATTAAAACTGTACCTAGTTTACTAACCTGTCCTAAGCCGGAAAAAAGAAGGAGATTTGGCATGGGGTTAGCCAGCCTACAGCAGGAGATCGAGCCAATCGCTACAGAAACCTTAAAGCACAGAAAAAGATATAAAAGGTAAACTTACTTTCCGCTAGAATCTAAGAGACGAAATGGTGTGGGTTGGTGAAAGCTCTTGAGGAGCCACTCAGCCTATTTGTCTTCATTCAATGAAAGCAAAGGTAAACACATCAACACATGGAATTTCCTCATAGTGTTTGAGACTGGTAGCCAAAGCAGATGAGATTTTCAAAGCTGTGAGAAGATATGTGAGAGTACATGGAATGGAGGTGGACTCTTCAAATTGTGAACTAGTAAGTCAGAAATTTCCTCCCGTAGGCCAGATGACAGGCACGAGCACATTGATGGTATAGCCACCACGATATCACCTACAGCATCGAAAGCTCTCATGCAGTAGGAACCATTTTCCTCCAGTTAGGAAAGTTTCAATTATACATTGTTACTCAACTAAAAGCAACGCAGACCAAAGGAAGAAGGAGGAGAGCTTGTGGCTAGTCAAACATTCAACTCAGAAAGAAATCAGAGGACAGAGTGAAATGAAGATGTGATATTGAAGCACTACCTTTCGCAATGAAGTCAAGGAATGAATAACATAATAATAACAGTAATGATAATAAGGAAATAACGATCTAAATAAACGTATAAATTCATTTACTGAGTGGGCAGATTAATTTAGTTAAATCGAACTGCTATACCGTTTGCGCTTATTCGCAAAGTAATTCGTTTGAATCAATCTCTTCTCGATTCTTTTATCTTCCTCTTCCTCAGCCTTTTGTTTGTGGATACGCAGGTATTATTTTATGACCGATTTTCAATCGTTTGTCTGCAGAATACGATAAACATTTCAGCGCAGTGTTCACGAAATGATTCAGAGCTGTTTCCCCCAACTTTTATAGTCATTTCTTCAGTTTTATTTGACTTCATCGTTTTGTAATCACTAAGTCTCATTATTTAGTCAAAAGATTTGTTCATCCCCATAAATTAAAATCTTTTTATAACATTTCTGTACGCCTTGTTGCCTTTCAGTTTTTTCTGATAATACTCAACTTATGGAAACATATTATACGAATTATGACAATGGCCTAATAGAATATTCAAAAACCTCTGTTCATGAAGATTTGTCAACACCAAATGAAACTGGCAATGTTGCTGAAAATGATCTAGAAGATATTGAGAATCAAGATGATTGGAATACAAATGAAACACTGGATGATGTACTTAGCTGTATGAAGGCAGCTTTACGCCAACCGGAAGGTACACTTTTATATTATATTATATAATATATATATCACTGTTTTCATATCTATCATTTGCTATACTTCCCATGCCTTTCATCTTGAAAGACCAAAGTGCAACGGCAGAAGACAATAGACTTCGTAAAAGAATGTTCATTTAGAATTTGATATCTATATATAGTGAAATTACGTACACCTTTTCCTTCAAATCGTCATTTGCACAAATCTTCCGTGTTGTGCTAATTCTGTCCTTTGTAGTGTGTTTCTCTGTCTTCTTTTCTCGTCTCCTATGTTGTGCCTGAACTCTGAATCATTTGCTGTCTTTGACGTCAAATCTACATCTCCACTATTTGATATTTTTATACCGATGAACGGCTCTTTATATACTACTGATAAACTTTATCAGTAGCACAGGCCACAGTACTAGTTCAATAGTATGCAGTTATTCATATAGGTGGAGTAAGATATCACTTGTTTTCAAATGCACACCAGTATGTAGGCTTGAGAGTTTTTCTGTAATGGTCACACCAGGTGATGTAATGTCAATTTCGATAGAGTTAGCATAGATATATGTGAATTATTTGGAAGACTTTTACACATGAGAAATGTCAGCAATGACAATAATAAGAGTGACAATAACAGTTGTTATAAATATAATTGATTAAAGATGCCCATTAAAATTTACAAAAGAAGCACAATAAATACCCAACAGTTCCTATGTTTCAGAATTGGTGCTGATTATAAAATTTAGATCAGAAAGAAGAGTACCAATATCTGCTGTAAGCCTGATGAAACTAATTATCTAAGCAATTCAAGACGTCACTGACATTTAACACATTTAAAACTATTAGTTCCCTTTATGAATTTAGATAAAGCAATAAGAAGATGTAATTTGTCTGAATCGTGTAATGTATTTGCACAACACATTTCGAATAACCTAATCACACACAAAGCATATTCCTAAATGGCTCCAGAAACAAATGGTATCTTCAGAACCCATTAATGGTGAGAGCAAGAGACCTAGCTCTTCTATTACGATACATATTATAGAGACAGGACATAAAATTGATGTTAACAGATCTTTAAAACCTATCTATAAAACGTGTGTGAGGCACATCCTAAAGTTTGTGGAAGCCCTAGCAATTAGAAAGTTTAAACCACCTTTATGCGTTCAAAGTAACAATTCTTCATCACACTAAACCTTCTTTGGTAAATTTTTGTTTTGATACCAGCCAGGGTAGATGTACTATTACCTTTGCTATTTGGTTTAGTGGTCTTCATTGTTATTTTGACCTTGAACATGTCCTCTTAACTTGACCTAACTCTATTATCTCACCTCTTAACTCTTTATTAATTTCTTTATTAATTCCTATGACAAGTCCGTGTGTGATCAGGTTGTTCGAAAAGTGTTGTACACAAATACATTACACGATTCAGACAAATTACGTCTTCTTATTGCGTTGTCTAAATTTAACACATTGTCAAAATAAACACAGCTCATATATGATAAGATTATCTAGCAATCTTGCCTATTTCGTGATTTGCATAGTTTATACACAATTTACACCTTTAATTTAAATGCATAATTGTATTTAGCAGTACAGCTTCTGAAGAATACTCACACCTATGTGTATATAAGAGATTGCTATGTGTTATTTTATGCCAAGGACAATGGACCCTCAATATTACATGTGAAACTTGAGCACTATTCATTGTTCATTGGATATATCACCCAATGGAATAGTATCATTTACTGCATGATGTTTCGAATACAATTTATTGTTTATAATGATATTAGTTGTAACTATACAAATTGAATCTTGATTTTTATAGTTCTCATCCTCCTCTACCATATTTGGTAAAGGTAGCAGAATTTTCCAGATGTCTGGAACAAGTACTGAATCACTGCGACCATATGTACTCTCAGTTGATGTCATAATCAAAGCTTGAACTATCCGGCTCTTCCTCCATCCAGTTACCTCGGATTTTAAGACTGTCACATTGACCCACCCTATTGTTATGGTTGTGTGCAATTCTGTATGGTGACACGGCTGAGCTTTTTTCTAGATTTCTTACCTTATTAGAGTTTACTAGTCTGGACTTGACTAAGCTTTGTGTTCCAGTAATCTAATTGAATCCATCCTACTACTCTGCCCTATGTATTCGACTTCACAGTAATCGCGGGGTGTTAGACAAAGCCCCCTGAGTAATGATACATCTGTTTTTTAGGCTGTAGTAAAGTATTCTGACAAATTGATAGGTGAATTTTCTCGATTGTACATCTTATAACTTCAGTTAAACCCACCGGCTGTACAATCCAAATCAGTGAGTAATTTACTTTGTGAAATATGAAATTTTTAATTTCTATTGTCTTAGAAACTGTTTTCTTTTATTCTCTTTTGTTTATTTCTCCCCCCCCCCCTATATAGATGATCAAACTTTAGTTATAAATGATGAAACTAATTCTTTGTATGGACCAGAAGCTAAGGCGAAAAAGATTGAAACTTTAAGAAAGTAAGTGTGATTAGTCACCTTATCGAAGTTAGTGTGTTATTAGTATGAGCAACAAAGCGTTAGGACATATATATGAGGAACCGGCAAAATAAATTTACCCCCCCCCCCTCTCATTTTCGCCTCCTTGACAATAGGATAGAAATATAGAGAAGCCGTCAATTTGAACTTACTAATGTAGTTGATGTTATGCACGATATTTTGTGATCTTTGTGATTTTGGCAATATACAGTGTCTCTTCACCGCCATTCAGTATCATTAATGTTTCAAAGTCAATTCTATCACATATTAATATTCATTAGGAAAAACACAGTTTTTCTTCAGCAAAGAAATATTTCTTTTCAACGACTTCATTTTCAAGCTGTACAGTCGTACTTATATTACGGAAAAAGGCGTTAAGACAGTAATATTGACTGAAGAGAGAATTTCGTCGACTACACTATCTGAGATAAATTGAAATAGCTGGTTGTGGTCCTACAAAAATTATGGTTTGCCTCACGCGTCTTCACGGTGTTCTCTACTATTCCTGTAAAAAGGACAACTTCTATATCATTTTGACAATGTGAATCTCTCTTCATATAATGAATGTAGTTTGTTGGCTTACTTATATACTGTATAGTATTAGGTACAATGTGCGATGTGATTCATAAAGCTACTACTGTGTCCTGCTTATTAATACTTAACGTCCAATACGTTTACCATTTTGAAGAAACTAACAGTCTTATTGAGTATTTATTATTTGATAATTGAAATAGCAATAAAGATGCTGCACTCCATTTCCAAGAAACTGTATAGCTTCTCTAATAGTCAGTTACTTTTTTCAACATGATTAAGTGCACCACTGTTCTGGTTTTGTAGGCTCAGATATACTTCCTAATTTTAGTTTATGGGTGGCAAAACTGCAAGAGTAAGCCACATCTTATAGTGAATTGATATGTGAAATAGAACAGTAAGATTTTGTCATTCAGTGCTTCCTATACCGTACAAAAGTTTAACGGTTTTCCAAGTGTTCACTGTTACAAAAATACGATTCAGTGGTTCAATGGTAAAAAATGCGCATCAGCCACACACTTGATTGGGGTTTCAATTCCCGATCAGTGCACTCCCAAACTTCGCCTAGTCTACCGCCTGAGACAGAGTAAGTCTGGAAAACAGAGAAAGCTGGATATGAGGCTAGCAACCCCAAACCATAGTGATAAAGAACAAAATCATTGCTAGTGAAACTTCACAGTTTGAATGCTTGTTATGCTCCTCTTGGAACGCAAAAAATTCATTTTTTTAAAAGCTATTATGAAGCGTCATTAGTTTACCAGTTCGTAAAGAATTTAGTTAGTTAGAATAACTTTATTCTGCACAACATGTATGCGCATGGCAGAAGGTTTTTAGAGGATTTGTGCAGGACTTTTAAGTAAAGAAGTGACCAGCAGTATATTCTACGTATGTTTCAAATAAAATTGATACTTTCATTAAAACTGATGATTTGTTAATCATTAATGCTTCGTGAAACAGAACAGAAGAAAAATCAATTGAAGTTTGCTTGCACGGTCTGTAAATCGTATATGTTTACAGGAAACCGACAATCTCGTCTCCTTAATTAGACGAATTGGCGGACAGCTGCATGTCACGACCACTGAATCAAAGCTCTACTTTTAAAGTGTTAGCATAAATGGAAGTACCGGCAGTTTTTTATAATTTTCTGCACTCTTTGTATAAAGTTGCTACTGAGTTTATTTTTTTATTTTGTGCAGATACCCCACAAGTGGTCTAATTCCATATGAATATTCTGGTAGTTTTAATTTTTTTCTCCGCCGAAATTATCATTCTTATTCACTTTACATTTCAGTTATTGCGTTGAAAAACTTGGAATACAAGAATTTCACACAGCCTATGATTATCTTTATCAAAAACGTATTACAGAGAATAATCAGTCTGGCGAGTTGACAATTCTTGATGGTTTGAAAAATTACTGTTCAAATGTGACAACAGGATTTCTGCTGGACCATTTAATTTTTCTAGAAAATGATACAAAGCAAACGATTAGTGTTGAGTCACCGAATTCACTCTACCAAGTTTTAGAAAGTAACTTGCAGTTTTGTATGTGACCCAGAAACTGCGACCACTACTACGCGTCGTTGAATTTGTTGCGGAGTGGTGAATGATAATAGAAGAGGTGAACTGCAATCAATGGCTAGATTATGTCTAAGTGATTTAATGGCTGTGAATTTGAAGAAAATAGTTAATTCTCTTAACAAATCAACTTTTCAAATGCATATCATCTTATTTTTTGAAAATTTTGTACTGTACCTACTCTTTAGAAGGCATAGTTTGGAGGTTATTTTGTTTTTTGTTTTTTCCCGATGCTCTTAGCTTCTTCTTTTTCACATTTTGGCGTCATTTATTTTGATTTACTATTGCTGATCTTTTGTTGTAGCAGCGTTAAACAGTGATTTGTAGTGAATTTCGCTCATCAACAAGTATAAGTGTTTTTCAATTATAGATTGATGTGGCGTGGTTTCTGTGAGATGATAAATGCCTTTCGCAAATTAATATCACTTTCAATAGTGTTACTTGCTTGAGAAACAGGCTCATTGTACATGGGAATGTTGAAAGAGAATCTAAAAATCCCTGAAGCTAAAGCTCCAGTAATTTGAAACGTTTTTATGAATTTCATCATTAAAGATTTTTAGAAACCCTAAGGACCTCCTCTTTTAGTTTAAAATTCAATAAATATTGCTGATCCGTCTGTAACAGCAGAAGCGAGGACATGGAAGGCAAGGTGTATCTCCAAGTGATCAAACTGCTGTTTATATATCTACAGTTTAAATTCATTAACCAGTCACTCAGCGTGTGATTTTGGTTTACATTAAACGTCGTGAAACAGAATGTTCAAATAGATATATATCGTATTCTGTTGCTAATTCTGCATTGAACTATTGGAATACGTGAGAATAATACTCCGTTGGAACACATTGTCTGTTTCACACCACCACAGGTCTAGCGATACACATTTACACACTCTAACTTCTTCTGCATTTGTTCCATTCATGCTGTCTTTCTGTGTTAGTTATCGTAAAGCATATCGGGCCAGTATCCTCTTAAACGCAATCTTCATATCTTTAACTTTAAGCATAGGTAACGGAAGTCATACCTTGATGGCCCATTGTATTGGTTAAAGTTAAGAAAGCGAAGTTTTCAGACTAACGCTTTACATTCGCTCCCAAAAATAAGCAGTGACTGTTACATCTATATCTGCTTACTTTTGATACGGAATCTGTATTAGTCACATCACTCACACTCTCATTTTGTTTGGGAAAGCGATGCCTGGTAAATATGATAAGCTGTCTTGATAAACCTATGGTGATCAGCAACCATAGGGGGTATCGTCAGCTGTGTACACAGGGACAACTTTCAGTGAAAACCTTTTAGTTTTCCTCAAACTTCTCCTTTGTGCACTAAAGTTGTCTTTCATCTTCCATCTATAACAATTACGATATTAAAGTGAATAGGCGACGCTAATCACACCGGGATTTACGTGGAATACGTTTCTTTTGAACAATGACGTTATCACTTGGTTGTAAAGAAAAGTAACAACCCAGTTTCGAAGACTTATCTTATTATCTTCATCTGTATGATGGCAGTAACAAGCGTCTATATCCAAGGGACTAGAAGGTTAAATTGTTCACACATAACTTATATGTGGTAAGGTGAATTGCTAAACTTGAGTCGTATATAAATACTTCAAAAGCATAGCATACACGTTTGTCCCCGGTTTCTATAATTTTGATGGTAAAGCTTGAACCATTTTTCCTACATCGGCATGCTAATTCGTACACTAAAATATTTGCTACTTTATCTTATTTTCCCTGGAGGCTAAAATCTCTTCGTCAGTTGAATGCATTTATCAAAGGTGTTGGAAACTGATTGCATCATCGACGTTCAACTATGATGCATCACACACATCAGGCTGGTAAAACTTGATATTTTCTCATCCTCTAAGATAAAAGACAAAAACACTTTATTTCTTTCGCGCAGAGAGAACAACAAAGCTGACAGTAACAAAAATTGCGTTCTTTATATTTCAAAATACCGAAACATTTTACCCATTAAAGTGACATATTTCTGCAGTTCATAAAATTCGATAAACTAGAAATCTAAAGATTCATCCTCTTGATCATGATGAAATGAAAGGTGGAGAATTATTTTTCCTCAAAAAAAAAAGGTTTCCATGGAAATCTTAAGAACTGGTTGTATTTTCAGCATGTCACACCATACCAGTCTTACTGAATGCCGTTTGCACAAGTGATCACTTAGTCAGTAGTACCTTGCCGAACCTGCGACCACTGTTAATAAAACATTAAACTAATATACTCAGTCATTTAGAATTATGCTCTGACACACATTATATTTAAATAAATAAATAAACGTGAAGACTGTTTTGGGGAAAAGGTTTTTGGACTCATCAGGCTAGTGTAGCTGAACTACAGACTCTGAGGATTTGTGCGTCACCAGCACAAAAGGGAAGAGCAAAATGGCATTCAAGCTTATTTGAATGCTTACACGTTAAAAGAAGACTTACAACACCCAAAGTATCCATAGACTGACTAGATGTTTATTAAATTAATATTTATCTCAAATCTGTCCATAGATTGGTACCAGTTAGAGAACCACTGAAAACTGGCTACAATTCAAAGCTCCCTGGAGTTATAGTTACAAGTCACCACCAGTGGGGTCCATCTAGTAGGGAATGAGGACCAATACTCGCCCGATGGCAGTGGTTGGTGGTCGTGCTAAAATCAGGAACTATTACAAGTTAGAGTTCATGAGCCACTGAATCGGATCCCAGTGGTAGAATGGTCTACGAGCTTGCCTTGTAACGGTAAGGTCCAGGGTTCGAACCCCGAACCTAGGACGAAACTGCCATATAGCATACCTTGGTTTCCAGTGCTTCTCTAACTGATATTAATCTGTGGTCAAACTCGTAAAAACAAATCAAATCCCTACAAACTAACCTTTGAGAATTAATATTTGGTTATTTTAACTCCAGGTTTATTTTGCTATCGTGGTAGGGGCACTAAGAAAGATTCATTTCTGTACAGCTTACGTCACTTTTAATATAATAAGCAGTTGTAAGTAGTAAAGATATCTTGTAAATATTTCTTTCAGTTAGTTTACGCTACCTAAGAATCACCGAAAATACTGTAAAATGCAGTAAATACTTAATAGAGAACGATAATACAGGTATCTACGTGTTAATTAAACAAATACTAAGTTTGTATACATTGTAATTAGATATTCTTATGTGGCATATACTATGAATAAAAGTGATATTTGATTCGAAAAAAACAAGGTATACACACACACACACCAGAGAGGTCTAACAATTTTACCTTGTTGGCTTAATCTGTAACTTTCTACAGTTTTAGACAATGTGTGGTTCAATAAAACAACATACTGGAAAATTATATTGTAGTAACAGGAGGCAAGACACGGAAGCCACGGCATATTTTCAAGTGATCGAACCGCTGTTTATCAATCTACAGTTCATATTCATTAACCAATTACTCAGCGTGTGATTTCGGCTTACATTAAACGACGTGAAACAGAATGTTCAAATAGATATGTTGTATTCTGTTGCTGTTGCCGACTTGCACTGTGGGAATATGTGAGAATAATACTCCGTTGGAACACATTGTCTGTATCACATCACCACAGTATCATTAATACAATAAATCGGTAAAGAATGTGTCTCTTGAATTCCACTTTCTTCCTCTAGTTAATAATTATCATTAAAATGCTATAGGAGGCAATACTTCGTTGCATGTACGGAAACATTCATCGACGGTGAAGATAAAAAATAATTGAATAAATAATATATGAAAACAGGTTTCTGCAAGTTGCACAGCTTACAGATAAGCTGCTCTTAAGATTCGTTGAAAAATAGGAATTTCCAAACCACTATATGTATGCGTGACATGATAAATGTTATCAAGAATGACAGCAAGAAGGCATAGAGTGTACACTGCTGGCCGATACACCTAGCTAGTCACCATTTATACTAACCAATATTATCTTCTAGTCAAACTGAATTTGCGTAGACAGCAGTCATCACATCAATACAGCACACAGTGTTTGGATCAAATTTAATCAATTTTTAAGGAACTTAAATGTGTTCGAGCCAATTGAGTTGTGGTCAGCTACTACTAATTAGTCACAACCAGTAGTATCTGCGGCGATGTAAACACCAATCAAATTGCATTATGTGGTTTGGATGCTTCAGGTTTTTTATTAGTTCACAGTGATGTCACACAAAATCGAAGACTTACAAGCGAAAACCGACAAACTGGTCGAAGAAGCAGCAGAGACAGGACTCTAGGTGAACATAGACAAGACGGAGGTTATGAAAATAACCAACCACCAACAACAACAGCAGCAGCAACATCCAGTGCCAATCACCATCAACGGGAGGGATTTGAAAGAGGTTAATTCATTCACTTATCTAGGGAGCATTGTCTCAACTACAGGAGGAACGGACGAGGATGTCAAATTGAGAATCGGGAAGGTGAGAAACACATTCATCAACCTGAAACCAATCTGGAAATCTTCGTCACTCAGCAACACTCAACAACAAAATTCGGATTTTCAATACAAACGTCAAGTCAATTTTGCTATACGGATCAGAAACTTGGCGGGTCACAAAGAATATTTCCAACAGCCTGTTGCAGACCTTTATCAACAGCTGTCTTCGTTCTATACTCAAGATCAGATGGCCGGAAAGAATCACCAACAAGAAACTATGGGAACAAACAAAACAAGAACCAATCGCCCAACAAATATGCAGGAGAAAGTGGAGATGGATTAGACACTCGCTGAGGAGGCCGCTGGGTGACATCTCGCGTCAAGCTCTCGAGTGGAACCCGAAAGGGAAGCGGTGAGTGGGACGTCCAAGGGTGACATGGAGGAGATCGTGTGAAGAGGGGCTGAAACAGTATGTACTAACATGGATGCAAGTGAAAAGTACAGCAGAAGACAGAAGCAAGTGGAGACGTGCAGTTGAAGCCCTATGTTCCACTAGGAACCCAAGGGAACAATAATAAATTATAATACAGTGAAACTCCACCTTGGACTATACAATCGGCAAGCAACTCTGCTATTTCCCGTGCATTAATTAATACTCAGTGTACATAATACATATGTGCCTTTTATTTAACATTTATGTTTGTTGAATTCCACTATAATAAAAAGGTGTTTTAATAGATGATAGCTAACAAAAACCTTTACTAAATATGAGTATACCGTCTTATTTACAAGCTGAACTTTGTCTCTCTCATTAATGAAAATCAGATATAACCTAGTGATAAGTTTTTAAGCAATGATTAGAGTTTTTTGGTAAAGATAACTTGAATCGATTTAGGCATTCTAATAATAGTGATGATGATAATAATAATAATAACAAAGTTTAACAATAAATGCTACAATTTTTCAGAGATTAACATTAAAGTCTCTTTTCTTGTTCGAAAAATAAATCACTACCAGAAAGAAGATCAAAGTTAATAGTCGAAGTCTACTTTGAATTTAAACACATGCATAAAACTCAACAGCTGACGTACATCTAATAACTTTATATATATATATATATATATATATGTAACCTGCACAAATTATTTTTAATATTGGAGACATGAATATATTCCCTCTACACTCGAATTCAGTAGGTTTGCTTTTGTCTTGCCAAAAAGACGACTAATATATATATTAGTTATTAATATTTTTTATCTTATTCATTATCAATGATTATGTTAGAGTGAACGGAAAAGTTGAATCGGCGCCAACAAACAATGGACAACAGTATCCACTTGTTATGATCCCTGGTACTGCGGGTAGTCAAGCTTTTGCAGTCTTCAAAAATGATCCTAGTCGCCAACCTCTACCGCTATGGTTAAATATGAAATTTTTTGTTTTCATTAAACGCTTTTCTGATTATTTTAAGTTGGTTTATATAAATATACACTTTTTTGGAGCATAGAATCTAATCCCTTTCATAGGTTGAATTATAATCCAATAACTGGTCGAACTGAAGATACTGAAGGAGTTGAAATAATCTTTCCTGGATGGGGTGAAACATGGTCAATTGAAAATTTAGATGAAACACCAAATGTTTTCTCAGAATACTTCGGTTCTTTAGTCTATGTCCTAAAGAAGGATCCATATTATGTGTCAAACTTCACAATGCGAGGTGCACCATATGACTTTAGAAAGGCTCCAAGTATTTGTCCATTTTTCATTAAAAAAGTATACACTCGTATTTTCTTCCTACTCCTTAGACGAAAATGCTCAGTTTTTTGAAAATCTAAGATTACTAATCGAAGAAACCTATGAAAATGCGAAACAGCGACGTGTTGTTCTACATCCACATAGTATGGGATGCTTATATGCCTTAGCGTTTTTAAAGCAGCGCACAATTTCTTGGAAAAGAAAATATATTAAATCAGTCATTTTTTCCAGCTGTCCGTTTGGTGGATCTGTTAAATCCTTAAAAGTTGAAGCTAGTGGTAAGCGAAGTATAATTGTAAATGATATCTTTAATTACTAACCAAATTATCTCATCGAGTTTTTCATGTTTTATGTTAAACAAATTCCTGTTAATTTTATAAATCCCTTCTGTTACCTCTACATATAAAACTCGATAGGAGTGCATACTACTATTTAGTTTTCAATCATTTTTACTGGTGACTTCATTTCTTGTGACTAGAGTTTCCTTACATCATTAGGCCATCAAGATATTGTCAGCTTTTCAACACGACTAGAAGATACTGTTGATCTAGTGTTTAAAAATAACTGCGGCATATTTGAAGCTCGAAAAACAGCCCCACTATTTAATTCTGGTTATTGTATCATTCGTCTATTGCGCAAAATATACGGGAAGCTGTACAAAAAGAGCCTTCTTGAACCTTGGCAAGGAAACAAAACATAGATGTTACTCCCATATCTCCTTAAGATTTGACAGCTTCTCCTCTTTTCAGGTCAAAAAACTTCGCTGAGAAAAAGAAAGGTTATGCAAAATGAAACACAATCCTGGTGTTAAGCGACTGAACATTCTAATTAAATCAGAAATATAGAGATTAAATATGTTCTATGATTAAAAGTTCTTATCATGCAAGACCTCATCAAATATGTGTAAGCTATTTAAGAATCTCACTAGGGGTAAGCAAATAAATAATGATCCTTCTTCAGTTGATAATGGTGCTTTTAATATGTCCTTCATATGTCGTCTAGCTGATGTTATGACCTCAAATGCTACAAGTGCAAATGATGACCGCTTCTCCGGTTTTAACACAAACGATTTCTCCAAGTGTCTCAAATCCCTGAAACCTACCCAGTCCCTTGGTCCAGATGGCGTACCAGCTATTATGCATCCTCAAACAATGTGCCGACATTTTATGTCACCCTCTTACTGGCCTTTTTAATGAATCGTTTTTCACTGACACAGTGCTTACGTTTTGGAAAGACGTTAAAATTGTGCCTGTGCCTAAATTATCAAGTGAACCAAGTGTAAAGTTTAAACCCAATGCCATTATTCCACCGTCTTTTAAATAGTGGAAAAACTGATCTTACCTAACTTTGAACCTTCATTGATGACTTTTAACGACCCTTATCAGTTTGCTTATAAACATAGTAGGCGCACTTAAGATGCCCCTTTCGTCTTATATCATAATACTCTCTACAGTTTAGACAGAGGTGCCAAATTTGTTCGGTGTGCCTTCCTAGATTACACATCTGCCTTCAACTGAGTAGCTAGGCATCTTTTGTTAAACAAGCTTGCTGCGACAAAGGTAGATTGCTGGACTAATAAGTGGTTGCATTCTTATTTTTTTTTGTTAGAAAACAGTACACTGTTTACAATGGGAAGTCCTCCATTGCTTCACTTATTCTTGCTGATGTCCCCCAAGGAGCTGTTCTTTCTGCTTTTCTGTGTTCTTTCTTCTTACATAACCTGTCCCATTCTGATGAAGCCAATTTTGTTAAGTAGGCTAATGATTTGACTGTACTGTACCACATGCTGAAAATTCCATATTTACACCAAAAGTACTGTTTGGAATAAAGCTGTTATCATATTCATGTCTTCTAATGACCGTTCTAGACTCTTGGGGATCTCCTGTTGACCTAGTTCAACGCATAACAGGATCTTGCCTAGTCTCGAAATCCATATCATCTCATGTCAGACTACAGCATTTATTTCAAGAGTGAACATTGAAAGGGTAGTTCAGAATGATGGATAAAAGACTGCCATTTGGGAGTAACAGCAATCACTAGACGAAATTTTCTAAGCATTTAGTTCTCCTTCGTTGCACACTGAGATTTTTCATGAAATCATACACTAAACAGAATCAACTACAACCTAAGTATTTTTGAGTACCTGTAACCTGATGTTCAATGATTGTTGATCTCAGAGAATTCAAAACATAAACAACCTCAAACAGTGCGTATTCATCTCCATCATATCGTAACTATTGCGTAACAGAAACCCAGCCACTAGTGAGATCAATCATTTCCACATAAGTGACATTCTTCTTCATGAATCAGTTGAAATTTATATCAATACGAAGTCATTAATTGTATCAGCCAGCTAACAGTTAGGTACAGTGAGAATGGACAACAACAATGTTGCGCTAAAAACTAGCAAATAATTAAAATCACCAATTATTATTATTATTGTTTCCTTTAATTCCTAGAGGAACATAGGGCTTCAGCCGTGCGTCTCCATTGCGTTCGGTTTTCTGCTAGAGTCTTCACCTGGCTCCAAGTCTGCCCACATGCTTTCATTCTCTCGTCTTCACATGACCTCCTCCAAGTCACCCTCTCACTGAGGACCAACTCACCGCTTCCCTTTCGGGTTCCAACCGAGCAGTGGCTTGTCTAGTGATGTCACTTGATGGTTTCTTCAGAGTATGGCCAATCCATCTCCATTTCTTCCTGCCTATTTGTTTCACAGTCGGTTCCTGCTGTGTTGGTTCGCTCATTGCCAGAGATCTCTGTTGCTGATCTTTTCTGGCCGGCCATCTGATCTTGAGTGGTATTGAGCGGAGACAACTGTTAATGAAGGTCTGTAATTTGTTTGAGATGCTCTTTATGACGCGCTGGCCAAGTCTCTGATCCATCCGTATAGTAGCACTGACTTCACATTGGAGTTGAAAATCCGGATCTTATTTTTGATGCTGAGTGTTGTTGACCTCCACACAGACTTGAGAGTAGTGAAAGCCTTTCCTGCTTTTCTAATTCTTGCTTTGATATCCTCGTCAGTTCCGTCTGCCTGTAGTTGAAACGATGCTTCCCAGGTAGGTAAAAGAGGTTGTTTCTTTCAGGTTCCTTCCATTTATGCTGGCTGATTGTTGGTTGTTGTTGTTGTTGTTGCTGGTGGTGGTGTTGTCCAGGAATCTTCATCACCTCTGTTTTCTCTATGTTCACCTGAAGTCCTATCTTTGATGCTTCTTCTGTCAACTTGTTGCCTTTTTGCTTGCATGTCTTCCAGTTTGTGGGAAATCAGACATATATCATCGACGAAGTCCAGATCCTCCAAGTTTTTTGTATGAGTCCATTTTATGCCTGTTTCCTCATTGCTCGTTGTTTGTCGCATTATCCAATCTACTGCAATAAGGAAAATCATTGGCGATAGTAGGCAGTCTTGTCTTACTCCTGTCCTCACTTCGAAGGATTCCGTAAGCTTCCCGTTGTGGATTACTTGGCATGCGGTATTGCCATACAGCTGTTGGATGAGATGTATAATTGTCGGTGGCACCCCTTGGTAGTAGCGAAGTAGTTGCCAAAGCACCTCACGATCGACGCTGTCGAAGGCCTTTTCAAAGTTGATGAAGTTGAGATAGATAGGTGACTGCTATTCCAAGCTTTGTTCAATGATGATCCGTAATGTGGCGATCTGATCAATATATGACTTGTTTCTCCTGAATCCAGCCTGTTCCGGTCAAAGTTTTTCATCCAGAGCTTGTTTGATTCTCTCCTGGATGATGCGGCTTAGTATTTTGACTTTAGTCTCCTTTCTTTGCTAGTTTGAATAAGTATCCTTTCTTCCAATCCTCGGGTACTTTGCCTTCTTTCCACACCTTCTCCAGTAGTGGCGTCATCAAGTCCGCTATTGTCTCTGAGTCCATTTTCAATTCTTCTGCGGGGATTCCATCTGGTCCTGCTGCTTTTCCAGCTTTTAGCATCTTGATTGCCTTCAGGACTTCTGATTTCGTCGGGGGATTGGTGTTCACTGGTAGCTCTGACCCCGTCGTTGGTATTGTTGGCGCGTTGACAATTTTGATATCCTCATGAAACCTGTTAATCATTTATCTGGATTTAAATACCTGTTGTGCACTTATAATCGTCATTTTCCAGAAGCTGGATACACGAGTAAAGTGAGAGGAATACCTCAGTTTGCCAGACACGGTAACACTTATTGCACCGAAAGGTGGTCTGCTTAAATCCTTTAGCTTACAGAATTTTCCAACCAACAGATTTATTCTGTCTTATGCTGCTTTGATCATTCAGTTACAATCGTTTTGTCTTTCATTCCAGCCCATCTCTGATTACTTTTCAGGCCTATTTCTCTGTATTTCATTTTAAAAAATGAGGAAAATCATCGTGAGGATTCCCAGTGTGCTTCAGTTGGGACAATAACATTCTGTCAATTGTTATTTAGCTTAAAAGTTAAGTATTATGCAATGCAACATGCCGACAACGTTACCATCGCTACTGAGACTTGAAAAACTTGAAGCGCACTGTTCCACTTGGGATGTAGCGAAACAAGAAAATTCCAAAGTAATCAGGTTTGATGATCATTCAGGTTGAAATCTCCACTGAAATTAAAAGGATACGAAAATATTAGGGCAATAATATTTTAAACCGAAAAGCGTATTCGGTTGGTTTGTAATAAAAATCTTTCGTTTATATCGGATATGGTATGGATGGACAATTAAAAATGCCTAATAAGTCTGAACTCTCACATCATTTGACTTAATCATTATTCAAATCTTTCTTCAGATGACTGCTCTTTATTGTATTAAAAAGCTGCCTATGTATGTGATTAGGTGATTTTTAAGTGGTAGTAATATCAATGAATGATAGCAACATTCTCACAAGATAGTTCAATATTTATTCTATACCCAAGCATCACTACACCAGTATGGAGGAGTTCTCCTCTTGCTCCATATTCCGTTTAATATGGCAATCTTACACCTGCATTTATACAGGTGCTGAATATAATTAATTTGCAGATGTAATTATTAGGAACATATATGCTGTCACACTGATGGTACTGATGAAGAGCGAATAAACTTGTAATCACCGATTTACTATTTGTTAAAACCCTAGAATCTTTATCTCCTGGCTACATTTTTTATTTTTCAGTCACATTTTTGTCTAAAAATGCCTAAATTTCATACTTTTCAGGTGATAACTTCGGGGTGTTTTTACGTAGTCCACTGAGTTTCCGTTACGTCCAGCGTTCTATGCCTTCGCTTACATTCATGTTCCCAGATGCCCGTTTATGGCCAGCCTCAGAACCACTTATTATCACACCGACAAAAAATTACAGTACAGCTGACTATGAAAGCTTTTTCAATGACATAAATTACACAGTTGGTAAGCAAACGGATTCTCTTGTTGTTTTTCTTTTTCTACTTTCTTTTGATGCATTCTCGATATCATCGATAAATATAATTCATTTATTTGAAAATATTTTTCAGAATAAACAATTATCATGAGTAACTCGTTCGCAAGTTTAAAAAAAGGAGCCACTTGCACATCAAGCACTGTGGTTTTATAACCACTGGATAACAGAAGACAATGACCATCATTTTTTACAACTATTTAATTCCTAAAACGTCATCCTAAGTAATGTGCCTGGCAGCGAGTAATTTGACAATCATGAAAAATAGAATTCGATAAAAAAATCAAGTGGTAACATAAAAACTGGTCGTATTAACAAATTCCCTTATATCACCACATTATTATAACTCTCATTTAGTCTTCTGTTTTATGACTATTTCAGAGTGAGTTATTACATGACAGACTCACGCATCGATAGGTTGTGCACAAAGTATCCTTGTTGTAATAGAATAAGAAGTTGGTCATATAATGTCTCCTTCTGTTCACATGATAATGTGTTATCGCTTTCATCAGTCTGCTGAACTAGTTGCTTCCGTCTGGACGACAAGTGATTTAAAGGTTTTCAAACAAATCCAAGTAAATACTGTAACCATAGAGACTAATCCTCAGCGTGATTACTATCAATTAATTTTCATTTCATTATTATTATTGCTTGATTAGATGCACTTATTTTTTACACAATACAATATGATATTTCTCGTGTCAACATTACATTTGGAATTTTATTCATTACTGCTTTTATGTGGCCACTGTTGATTCCATTGAACCAATCACTTGCAGGTTTTCGGCAATTACGAATATGCTATGCATTATTAGTTCACCTTTAGTATCACTATCAGTCTTGGGTTTTCGATTGTTCTTAAATATCATCAATTAACTTATTTGACTGAATTCAATCAGTGTGACAATTTTGTTTGATTTATCTTTAGTAAAACGTGAGGTTCTTATTCACTGGTCAGAAAAACTGAAACATCGAAGGAGGAATCTTTTCTGCTTTTTAAGTCGCACAATAAATACACACTTTCTCTTCAATTTTCAGGTTTAGGTAGCTTCACAATGTCCCTACTACTTCAATTTCATAATTATCAGTAAGTGTCATTAGTCAGAACTTTATTATATGGATGACACACCAAACTCTTCATAGGGCACAGGTGACCCGATGGAAATATGTGCGCCTATTCGGCAACAGCCCTACCATCTGAGTAAAGATACACTGGCAGTATTTTATTCACCGATTTGTTAATAAAGGCAGAGACAGATTAGAAAGCACAGATGGAATATTCAGACGACATATTCACCTTACAGTTTCATTTTGTTTAAGCGAAAAACCTATTTGGCCAAGTGATTAGATTTTTCTGCTATTTTAGTCAAGATAAATGCACTATGTAGGACGTTTTCAGTAGAAATCGGTATCCAGACAAGTGAACGACGAAGTGTATAAATTCACTGTATACGAAGACCATCCACAATTAGTTCTGCAGTTCAGTTACAAAGCCTAGGAAGGTTGTATAAGTCTTTTTCATGCATATTTACCCTTTCGAGTACTTTGTTAAGGCTATTTAAACTGGTCACACGACTAAACAAGTTTTGTAGTGAATTCACTGGCTTAATAATATTAAATCTTGTCGATACTGATACTAACAAGACATTTACATCTCTTTGTGGCAAGTGGTTTGAAAACTTTCTATAAAATTACTCATGGTGGCCATATATTTTGCTTACTTTTCTAGCTAGTGCGTCGGTGGCATAGCGGTTAGGACGCTCGCCGACCATGCACATGGTCCGGGGTTCGACCCCCGGCCGGCGCACTCCTTTACTTCACTAAGCCAATAATGACTGGTGAAGAGGAAAGGTTGGACATGAGGCTTGCAACCCCATCTTGTAAAAATAAACACTGCTACAGAAACTTCAAGCCTCTAGCTTGAAGCCCTATGTTCCACTGGGGAACGTGAAGGAATAAAAGAAAAGAAAGAAAAGAATTTTTCTAGCTGGTCATTAGTGTATGACAAAATGTTTTCATTTCATTTACGTTTCCTAATTGATTTCCCAGTTTCTTAATCGCCATATTTTTCCCTCCCTTCCCATTAATAAATTAATAACAATCAATGTCACATGAACTGATTCCGTAGTTCAGTGCACTGATGTCAGCTTGTCCACACATCTTCGGTCGCATTTCGCAAGCTCTTTGCCATTCGCAAATATTTTGTGATCGCCATGACGAATTTACTAATCTGATGAATACGTTGTGAATGCCATGCATATAAATTCATTTGTACAGTTATTTGAATAACGTCACTGCAGAGGAACTCTTCGTTGAAGTACTTGCTCTTCCCTTTTTTGTTTAATTTTACACTCTGATAAAACTGGTAATTTCCCCAATCAGCTGTTTTGTTTCTGAAATTGGATGCTGAATTTTTGGCACTGGCTTTTTTACTATAAGTTAGTGACGGAAATGATGGGTGTCAGAAAATGGTAAACTGGATTTTCCTACAAACTATGTCTCCACAGCATAAATTTACTCTACTTAAACAAAGATCGATAAAATTACGCAATTAAAGATATGAATTATTTATCTGATAGTTTTGGTGGTGGTGTATAGGAGCAGCGTCTAGGATGTGCGTTTCTCTCCGCTTTGGAATCGTCAACCAGATGAACCATGAAGACTCAATTCCTGCACTTATAGTTTAAAACCCCGAAGTATCATCCATTGGGCAGCGAAGAACGATGAATCAACCCATAAGTAAACAACACCTCACAAAACGTGGCTCTTGTGGGCAAGTAGATAATGTCTTAGTGTTGATACGATGGGTGCAGTGTTTGCGTCTAAGTCGGAATACCATTACCAGTCACTGTGAATTAGAGTGCATCCGGTGAAGTGTCTAAAACAGGAAGGAATCAGAGTTCGCCACCATCAAAAGAACGCCGCGCTAATACTCAGGCATCAATGAAGCTTCCACACGAGAAGCCGATATGCCAACAGAAGCAAAGCATGTCAGTCCAACATAATCATTAACCGGTAAGTGCGAAATTTACCCTATAAGAAACAATAGTTTATCGAATTGTTTCTGTCGCATTATTAATCTCTTCTTAATTCTTTTTGTCCCAGGATATAGAATGTGGAAGGACACTCATTCTCTTGTCGATGGACTTGAAATGCCAAGTGGTATTGATGAAATTCACTGCATCCATGGTTCAAATTTGAGTACTACAGATAAACTTGTTTATTCTCCACCTAATCTATTTCATAACGGTTTCCCAGACCAGGTACCACTATTAGTTCCTGGTAATGGAGATGGAACTGTCAGTATTCGCAGTTTGGAATATTGTAAGTACTGGCCAGGCACCAAATATTACGTCTTACCGGGAGCTGAACACGTGCATATCATGAGCGACATACGACACATCAATATTGTCCTTAAGATCCTCGGAGCAAATATAACACATGGATAGAAGCTACCTTCGTATATCATAGTGTATAAGACTGCAAAGTTCCCATTATGACAATTTATCTTGCTGTATGAAAGTGAGGCCAATAAATTTCAAGAGTATAGCAGAATGCTTGTATTTTAAAGATTGCATAACTTTATTTTCCGTACACGTATACTGACACGATACACAATACAATTTTGACTTATTCCATTTCGATGTGCCGCCTTATTTCTAAACACCACAACTATATTTGGTAAACACCCAGTATGCGAAAGTCTTATATATATATATATATATATTAGAAAGTCTTATATTTTTAAATAAGAAATTTATGTCATTTAGTTGATTCAAACAAAGTATGCAGTCTGCCAGACACCATCTCACGAAAAATTAATGACTTTTTTAAATGTCCAGGGTGACTCTAAACTTTAGGAACCCAAACGAACGAACGGACAAATGACCTAGACAAGGACAATTTTAACCAATCAGAAGGCTTAAAATGAACGGCGCATAATTTTAATAAATCGTTTATATACAAGTAAAGCAATGTTAAAAAATAGTTACAAAAGATAGCGTTCTCGTATATGTTGCAAAAAAAGTCCCAATTAGACATAGGAGTCTTTAAAGTCATGTTAAACCAAGTCCTATACATAAACTCGTCGAGATAACTGTAAATCATTGGATTTCTTGATCCGTCCACCGATCTTATCCGTTTTTTGAGATGACTCCAGAAACTTTCAATGGAATTAGTATGAGTTCGATTGAAAGGATTTATAAATCCGGTTGTATGGTTGACAACCTCATGAATATAGCCGAGATTTGATAATTGGCTGTAACTACTCCACTCATCCGTATGTATTGCTGTTCCCGGTAGCACTAAACTTTGGATAATGGATTTTCTGCATCTGCATTCCCTGCAACGGTAAACATAACCGTCGATGCATTTCGTGTATCTTTGTATATGCATAACACCTCCGCACTGGCAAGTTTTCGATCTCGCTATCAGCCCGTTCTCTAAACAGTAATCGAAAACAAACTCTGGAGCGAATTTGCATCGCAAACGATGTACAGCATGCATTGCGAAACAGATGATTGCCTGCTCAAGGCCATTCATCGAGGTCATCCATTATCAAGGTTATTTTGGGTTCCTAAAGTTTAGAGTCACCCAAAGTGAGTAATCCAACTTCTGGAGTTCTGAGGAGTTCCATAATTCCGTGGCTGAAACTTACATTTGTAATCTTTTGCTTGGATTTCGACCATTTTTGCCATTCAGAATACACACTTTTCTATATTCACTTACGAGTATTTGTAGTAACAATATGTCTTCATCAACAAAATCTCACATTTCCAGCTATACGTAGGTTCTTTTAACATGTATTTTCATGTCTCACTCTACAGCAGTTAAGACTGTAGGCATCTGTTACAAGAAAAAATATTAACAGGCGAATTTTCGTAGACTGAAAGCATGACAGTTTGCACAGGTCCAGTTTTCTTGAACGTGACCAGCACTTAACTGTCCCTTTATTTCATGGGTGAAGAACTGCTTTTAAGTGGATGCAGTTTTTAAATGCTTTGTTTTGTTCGGGAGGTACATATAAACATCCAGAAGAGAAGAAGCAAAAATCTTGAAATAAGTCTAAGCTAGCCCTCAGTCGCATTTGAAACCAATACGCACCATGTAATTCTCCCGTCACTATTAATACCTTGGATTCTAAGTGATTGGTGGTCTCTTAGGTTTCTCTTAGGTGTTTTTTGTTTTGGCCTACATGCTTCGTATCAGATGACTGCCTTACAGTTAGTTTAGAATGCAGAAATAGGAATGCGCGCGGAAAGCAACGTACGACACAAAAACACAAGCTAGCGGTGAAGGTATCTGCGGTCTTCCATTTCCGTTTTGTGTTAAGTATCATGGCCAACGTGAACTTCAACACTCAGTAGTGGCCTTGAACATTACGTCGACCTACTCATATTATCACAGAATAATTAGCTGACCTCCTTCTTTTATTAAATTGGGAGGTCATTGGGGAGCTATCTACTCTGACTTCTAGTTGACCTTGTATGTAATCTCTCTGGAGAATAGAAAGACACCAGAATTTTGGGCTTTCAAAAAGGCGGGGTTGTTTAGGGAAAGATTTTAGCGAGCTGAAATTCACAAAAGTCATGTTTCGTGGTGTTCCCTAATTGTCAGATTTGACTATGTATGCTTTTATTTGGACTCCCTTATTTAAAAAGGTTATATATATATTTCCTATCTATGTAGGACACACCAGTTGTACAGGCATGGATAAGTATTATTTACATTACATGAATTTGATTTATAGTGAAATTACATGGTTATTGTCCTCTCTGACATTATTTAGTGAGTACAATCTGACAGCTAGTCGTTCAATGGAGCACATTAAGAAATATAGAAATATTGCCTTCGCATTAACAAAAAAAACCCAAGTATGTGTCGGATAAATTAAAAATATAATGAGTGAGGCCTTAGTTGACTACTTAAAACTTGTTGGACTACCAAAAAGTCTTTTCTAGTAGTAGAGCACAGTGGTTAGGACTCTCGCCGACCATGCACATGATCCCCTGCCGACGCATACCCGATATCAAGGTCGGCCTACAAAATTTGGGCTACCGATATCCATGCTGAAAATTCCATACTTGTACTGAAAATACAGTGTGGCATCAATCTGTAATCAAAATAAAAAATTGTCTCTAAACAATACTGCACAGGTTTTTCACACTGACGTCTGTCCTAGGAAATCTGTCACCTTACTGTAGCAACACCGTTGAATGCATTTATTGACATTTCAGCTACAGATCACACTCGCACTTGAAAGATAAATTTCTCTGATCCGAGGAGGCTTAAGGACCGATCACTTGAACTTATCAACACATAATCGATGATCAAATGTAACCACTTCATCTTGAATTCCTCACTGAAGTTGCCTAGAAAGTATATAAAAACTTCGAGATTGCACCATACAGCTTAAAGAACACACACCGGGTATAATCAGAATATTACTACTGGAAATTTCAATATTCCAGTTTTAGGACCCACATACATCCACCTAATGCTCTAGAGGGTATTTTAAAGGCGTTTGTTAAATGCATCGATGACAATAGACTTAACAAAAGTATTCCCTGTGATGCTGGCTGCTCAGTAGAGTAAATCCACACTTTAATTAGTGATTAATTGACAGGAATGGATGGGGACTTAACTGCAGTGATTTGGTCCCAGAACAGTTTAAATTGGTTATCAGGAGATGGCTGATTAAACACAGCACTCCTCTTCATCAGTGAAAAAGCAAGGAGTAGTAGCGATCCGCAGGGTAGTGGATTGTGACTCTTAATAAACAGCCTCTTTGTTAAGATGAATGGCATTAATAATCAAAATATCACTGACATTGTATCTGTGACGACACCAAATTCCAAAAACTGTATTTCGCAACCTGTGTAGCATGCAAAATATCTCTTGAAATTCAATGCGTTGTCACTAGGGTAACTCCGTGGTAGAATACAAACCAGGGCCCACAGTATTCCTCAAAATGCAGATAATGTATACGCGTATGAGCTTTCAAGACGAAAAGTCGCCAGGAAACAGCCGGCTATTTATTGAAGCATATGAAGGCGCACAGCTGAACAAAAGTTGACAAGCCGAAAAGGAGTGCTTCACTAAAAGTTTCATTGTGATATGTCTTGCTAGCATGTAGCCACTCGAGCCTTTTGATGATTCTTGTGGTTAGTTAGATAACAGAAAATCAAACCAGATTTCAAAGCTATCAGTGCGATTTTTGACTAAATCTAGCTTCACAAATGCTGTTGCGTTTAAGATAAATTAAAACTTAGCTGCAAACAACCCACCAGGGCCTTGTCTGGAAAAATAAGATGATCGATTCCCAAATAGTCTGTAAACATTCCTTACTTTCCACTCTTCAGATTTCCTCGGCTACTTTTAATAGGCAGCGTCTGTCAAAATTTAGGAAAACATAGCCGAAATCCAGAGGAATAGACCAGCAGCTTTACTTTGTTTCGTCTCAAAAACGATGGAAGAAGACTATATTAGAAGAAACATACTACACTAGGCCTGAAATTGTTGTCTTGAGTGTGATTTCACCTAAAGCGTCAGTTACCAGTACCACTATACAATCATAACTTCCCTGTTTCTTTGTCGCCTCTGGTTCGAGTTAGGGCATTCGACAGTATGCTATATAATACTTTTTCCTGAAAAGTGTGGCATTTGGAAATCAGCGACTTACTATGACTAGGGATAGTATCTTGTTTGAAGGACAAATTATTTTACTAGAAAAGGAATTTCATGCCCCATAACTGGAGAATATCAATCTTGCGATTACTTAGAGATGTTGATATTCTCCATCTTTATTGACATACCTCCCAAGAAAGTGGTTACTCCTCTTCCCTTTGCTGAGCTGTCCGAAACGCAGGAAGTAGTTTGCATTGCACCACCAGCCACTTATAAAACCTTATCAAATAAATATCAGGTCTTTTCCTCAGTCCTAAAAGGCTTTCCTGAAGAGCAATTGAGAACGTTGTTGAACTGGAAAACAGCCCATGCGGCTACAAACCACAAAAACCTGCTCGGCAGACACCAAGTCGCCGAGGAGCTTAGAGTGATTGAACAGTAACTTACGACAAGAAGCGTAGCTGAAGTTATAGTCATATAGACACATTTTTAGAGATACCTAAGTAAACTCAGGATGAACTGCTTACAAAATAGCATTCACTCAAGCAGCGCCCTACCTTCTCTATCTTGAATTCTCTTTAAAAGCAGAACAGTTCAATGATAGAATAATTTGACCTGATAAGTGATACATTTCTGTGCGCTGATGACGTCTGGGGAGCAGTGAATCGCCCACAATCATTTCAAGGTGTTCGTGCAACTTCCACATTCGATACATATAGTTCGACCATTTCTCTATCCTTTGACTCTGTTGGTAATGGTATTTTTCACATTATTGGTACTTGCGGTGCGTGATTTCTACTGCATATCCTCAGTATAGAGTCAATGGACTAAGATTGGTGGATCAACCCCTCC